AGTTCTGACTATGTTCTAGTACTTGTGTTCTGTATTTCTGTTGTGTAGGATAGTTGTAGCCTGGGTCCCCTTACTAAGCCTTCAGGTCCCCTCTACACTGTTGCTGACACATAAGAGAGTTGTAGAGTAGTAATAGGTAGTTTTAATCTGATATTAGTAATAGTATAGAGAGGACCTAAAGGCTTAGTAAGGAGACTCAGACTACAACTATTCTACACAACAGAAATACAGAATGTAAGTACTAGAACATAGTTAGAACTTGTAGAACAGAAGGAAAGAGAGAGTAAGATAAGTGTAGAGTATATAGAGTGAGCCTAAGAGTATAGGACTATTTAGAGTAGACAAGATTAAGACTATAGAACTAGTCTGACCTTGTATACTTATATATACTAAACTATATAAGAGTACTCAGAAAATAATGAGCCACTAAGAATGATGAGCTATAAAGAATGAAGGAAGGGAAGGTCAAAGATAAATGTACAAAGAATAAAAGGATAGACAAAAGGTAAGAGACTATAGAATGAACAAAGAATAGAGGGGTGAATAAAGGAACAGAATAATAAAGAAAGAGGGGTAGTAGTAGGAGTTATAGGGAGAGTCAGTCTACATATAGTCTATAGACAGTACACTCAAGGGACAGAAGTCCTGAGTTCTAGTATGGAAGAGTGTGGAACCTGTAGAACTGAGAGTATAAAAGTAGAGAACTGTAACAATAACCAATTTTATAAATCTGTACACACTATACAGTGTTTGAATATATTAGTAATATTTATATAGAACCTTGTGTCAGTGTGTTTAATACAACTCTAGAATATACAAGCCAGAATTTTTCAAGTTGATTGATTTGCTTAGACTAAAAGTCTGAGAGATACTTTAAAGATTTAGGAAGACTCTTTCAACAGGTACAAAGGCTAATATACATTCTTGGCCAAGTTAGTCAAGTAATAAGTGGTGCTGAGGAAGAAAAGTTAAACGTGCCCTCAACATTGGCAATATAGGCTGAGCTGTTTTTCAACACAGATAGTCCATTTGCCCACCCTTGCTGAGCCTGGGAATAAATTGCAGGGATCATAGATGTGCCGAAATGGGGCTTGAATTGATCACGGGATCAGTAGAGTGGAAAATGATTATCCAACCAAGGGTTGCCTGACTCGTCATTCTAACAGGTCATTCGTCTGTCAACACTACAGTAATTTTGCAAAAAATGCTTCGGCTTGGTAAACCATCTGGACTAGTACTGTGCAATTTTCTGGCTTCTGGACGTGATCGAATTAAGAACTATTGAGACTCTGGGGGTCGGTCACAAATCAACATTTCTCACTCAACGGCTTCTCTCTTCTTCAAGGTTTGATTTCGAGGAATTCCTCAATATTTCCGAGATCAGCCCTACATATCCGGTTATCAGCAGCAAGACCTCTCTTGATATTCGCCGGCGCCGATCAACAGGCGCCATGCATTCATGCGATTCAAATTCGGTATTGTGCGTGTCCGTGAGACCAGAGATCCTCCGCATTCCCCCCGCGTCCCCCCAGCTCTCTCTTCATAAGGACCACTCATAACGAAAACCATCCCCTTCCTTTCTTCCTTGTGTCCGAGTCTCCCTGGTTCTACAGCCTCTGCTGCAGTTCTACACGATAGTGTGGCACATTGAGCCGTAGCACTCAGCACAAAGCTGGCGTCGACAATTATTCATGTCAGATTCAACACCAGCCTCAGCTGCGCCAAGCTCGGGAGCAGGAGTGGGCCCTGCATCTGTCGTTCTTCCATCTTATGACAATACACTCGGTGCAATCCTCCTCGGTGGTTTCATTTCCATCTTGTACGCCTTATTCATTGTTTTATGCTGCTTCTACACAGCTGAAGACTTACTACATCCTTGTCGGACATCTGGTACGATGAAGTTTGTATGGCATTACATGCCTTCAGGTCTTTATCTATCATCAGCGCTATCCAAGGGATAGGCGCATGGTGAAGTATTTTGTACGTCTCCTATTCACATCCCACTCTTTTTTCCTCTTCAGCTGGCCGAGCTGGCCGAACTCGTCTAATAATATCGCTCTTCCGAAAAATATGCAGGTTTACTTAATCTGGGCGATCGACTCATTCGATGCGGCGTTGACTGTGCAAATTTGTTACTATTATTTGGTCTCCAACTACGCGAATCCAATTACAATCTTCTCGCCGGTGTGGAGCTTGAAGCTTCATGTCTTAGTCACCGTGAGCTCGTCTGCTCACATCTTCCACGTTCGTCGCTTTCTGATCATCGTCCACTGTTTAGTCAGTAAGCGACTTCGTCGTTCGAGCGTGGGTTTTCATTTCCGGCATTTTGTGTGAACACGTTCGTTAATATTTAATCGTGTGCAGTCTTTTTACTCGACGGATATACACTTGTACGCATACCTCCCTCATTTTCTTTACTTTTCATTTGCTAACTTGAATCTGCGATTCTCATTTCATTCGTATCCCCTATTCATCTCCGGTCTTGCCGAACAATATTGAATCCCGTTTTTATTACTAACTCGATAGTGAGTCATGGTAACAAGTGGATTACTGGCAGTATTATGGGATTGTCGATCATAGACTTGGTTGTTGGGACAGGTGAGCAACAATTCTTCATGACCTCAATTCCGTTCCTTCAAATAGTCTTGATCGGTTGCTCGTGAGTTGGGTGCCAAAATTAGAAGAGACACTCCATTTCGTACTCTCCAGGACAGAACTCTCTGATACCACCTGACCACCTCTCTAACTTTTCAACTAAGAGAACAGTTTTCTAATTAGTTGTTGTCTGTCTTCTTTCCAACATCCAGCCCCTATCCATTTTGCCGCTCCACTTCTCCTATACTTCCTTGTCACATACTTTGACGATTGCTAATATAGTAACTCTCTAGTCATTACAGCACGGGCATTCCGCATTCCGACGTTCGCGGGACTGACAGCAGTTGCGAACCTCTTCTACCTGAATTTTGCGAGTAATATCACCGCGGACATGGCCGTCATGTTCATGCTGTCGTATTATCTATGGACTAACAGGACTGGATCACGAAAGTAAATACTGCAAAGTCTTTGGCGTGCCACTCCACCTAGACACTTATTATAAATCGTTTCAGGACTGATTCGTTAGTCGAGAGGCTTATTTTGTACACTATCAATACCGGTGCCATTACTGTGATTGATGCGACGCTTGGGCTCATCTTTTACGCCGCAATGCCGACCAACCTCGTTTTCATTGCGTTTTATCTCAACTTAAGTAAATGTACGAACATCCTGTTTCGCCTTTGTCTGTGCTCCTTTGACATGTCTTGTTCAAATTAGTCTTTGTCAATTCATACCTTGCTTCGCTCAACGTGCGCAAGACGCTTCTCTCGTCGATGAAGGCCGGAGCCGGACAAGGAGACGATGCATTCGTGTCCATTCACCTTTCAAGTCCCGACTCGCAGGACGTCTCACATAATATGCCTGCATTCCGTCCGATGGCTGCCACCGGTATGAGCCTCAGCGTACCTGGCCTTCTGACGGTCCACGAGGACCCCAAGGAATACAAACGGGGCCGTGATTGCGACACGCTTGATATGGACCTTGAATCCGGGACGGGCACGGGCAGCACCCACTCAAGGGGCGACGTATCAACTGCTGTCAACACTCCGGTCGACGGTGACTGCTCGTTGCTGAGCAAGGGCAACATACATGTTGATGGTTTGAATGGGGAAAAGAACGTCACTAGTGTCCTCGTGCGTGAGGACCAGCATCCAGACATCGATCCGGAGGTGCGTTTTGAAACTTCGACAGCGAAGGATGAAGACTCAGATTCGGGCTCGCGCTCCGACTAGTCTTACACTTTGTCGTCGCAATCTCCTATCGATCCGTAGTGGACCACATGTGCTGGTCTTCGTTACATCCTTTCATAGCATACATTCTTTGACCTGTGGCAAGGACGTAACTTCTGGAACGAACATTGCTTCTGACCTCTGGACTCGCGGTAGCCTGTCATTGTCATTCTTCATTTATCGCCTCGTGTTCCCGTCTTGCCTTGTCCCGGATTTGATTACTGCTCCGCCCACATTGCATTCGCCTTTCACTTTCCATTAATTATAGCCATCTAACCTCCGATCCTCAAAAAGGCTGCCTTGGTCATGTAGACCTATTCCACTCGCTAATGAACTCATTTCTCGCGCATTCATCATCTCTCAAACATCGCATTGCATTTCCTAAAATCAACTGTCGTTACATACCGCTATCATATCTTGTTTTCCTATCGAGTACCGTACTATCTTGCATCTACTTTCTATTCTCGTTTCCATCCTTTCCAGACTGTTATTGCTGTTATCACCTTATCCTTAACTGTATCATGTATTGCTAGGCCCAACGAGCCATCTTTGTTCTTGGAGAGTGGATATCTCTTCATTTGGATGCGAATATTAATTGGCGCGGATAAACCGGAGATGAACATCTCTGTTTTTGAGGGTGGTATGGTATGGTATGGTATGGTATATTTCCTGGTATAGGTCCCTAAAAAGAAACACCAGGGCTGCTGGTCTATTGTACAAATACAGGGTAATTTATCTATAATAAAGAAACCACCCTGTCCAGCAATGTTCAGGGAACTACTAATGCAATAGACACTCAATGCTTCTCCAACTGTGTACCAGAAATGAGACAAAAAGTATATGAGCTCTTGAGAGGTAAGGGAACATGGGTACACAGGAGAAGATGCTATTTTCACAGTAGAAATCCATCATGAACAGTATAGAGAGATTATAAATGAGAATCACTAATAGAGTTAGTTGTGACCTTAGTAAAGAGAGGAGGCAGAAAAGTAAAAGAAGATTGACGAGTAAGAATAGGGGTTGTAAGCAATTGCAACACCTTCATTTTGAGTAGCTCATTTTGTTTTTTCTTTTATATATTTGATAGTATGCTACACTAGTAGCATTATAGAAGTATATTGAGTAATTTTTGGTCTTTTATTAATGATGTAGATGTAGTAGCAATTTATTGTATTTTTTGAATAATTTTCGTGGTGGTGGTTCGTGGGAGAGTCAGGCCCCGTGTATTCTCTTTTGCTTGAAAAATAATCAGTTAGTGGAGTAGCCGATTTCCACGTGAGACGAAGGTAAATGATAATAAATGATATTCATTCCCACTTTCTACAGAGATTGTTGGTCACGCGGCTAGAAGTTAAGAACTTGTAGATTTGTCTCTCCGTCCCATTAAAATATTTGCCAAGCAGTTGACATATCCGCCATATAACCCTACTTCAACCTTCGAAAAGAAATGGTCTATCGGAACAGGGCTCGAACTCGAAAGGAATGGCAAATTACACGTGTGCCACAACTAGAAATTCAGAAACACAAATGCGATAGAATGGGGATACGGGCAGCATACGGAACAAGAATCGCCTGTCGGAAGAGAGAAGGCGGAAGGAAGGGGGCATTTGAGAAGCAAGGACACCTGGCCTAGAAGAGTGGAAAAGAAGGAGCCCGGAAGGAATATACAAGGTCCTAATCCAGTGCTCATGTGAATGAGTAAAAGAACTCATAACAAAGAATACAAATATTTTAATAATGCGAAGAAGTAGGAAATATGTGTGCAAGAGGCGACCAGCGGGAAATGACTCTTCCAAAATAAATCGGCATGCGTGCATATGAAAGGGCTTTAATCAATTCCACTTATAATTGGGAACAATATCAGACTTCTGACATGGGTGTGAGCTCGGCTCGCAGTGAAGAATGAGAAGCATGAATGAGTAGCCTAGTAATCGGAGTCTTGACCGCCGAAGAGGCCTTGTGCTTGTGGCTTTCCCGAAGATCTCAGTGGGGATGGGAGAACAGTACTGGACGAGCCTGGGCCAGCGGCTAGCGCAGCTGCCGCGCTGGCGCTCGACAGCGATCCACGACGAGGCAATGTACCGCGGACGCCGACTCGGTTCTCCTTTGGGGATACTGGCTTTGCAGGAGTAGGACTGTAGAAGTATGAGTGCATATGTGGGAGAACGGGGCGGGGTGGTGTTCTCTGAACCGGAGAGGTTGCCTCTGACGTTTGGAGCTGAGTCTGACCCTGTGTGGGTGTTTGTGGTGAAGAGACGGAAGTTTGTTGGAATTGGGTAGCGGAGAGTAGTGATGTTTGGACTTGCATATGTGGTTGGGACCTGCGTACAGAAGACGAAGAGACCCGAGTAACAGCCGTGGGAATAGATGTAGGAGATGCAGTGGTACTGAAATCCGACGTGCGAACATTCTGGTAGCTCATGCTGCGGGGAAGAGATGGCCGGGAATCCTGTTGTCTGGGTCCAGCAGCGTGTGTCCTGTTGAGAGGGCTGAAGTCACTTGTCAAACGCGGGTCGACAATAGGCACGGACTTCTCAAGCAAGGAATACAGCCGCATAACATGCGACGCATCATCATCGTGCGAAGTACCGTCCTGCACAGGAGTTTCAGGAAGTGGAGTTCCCGGGAAAAGTGCTCGATTTGGAGAGGGTGCACGGTACATGTAGCTGCTCGGCGCTGAAGACGAAACCTCCAGCTGGCTCTCAAACCGATAGACTTTCGACCTCTCACGTGTGCGAGTCGGATTCGGGTTGGAATCGCTGCGTTGACGATTTGAAGCCGCTGGTACCGGAATGGCAGCTGGGACTAGTTTCAGTGCCGCAGCGGAGTCTGATGCGCGTGAGATACTACTCGAACTTGAGCTTGTCCGGGTCGGAGACTCTGGTGCTCGTCGTCTGTACTTTTCGACCGTCGTCTCGTCACCAGAATCTGAGCTTTGCTTGCTGAGAGACAGCGAAATATTTCCCGGAATGGGCGAGATATGGAACAGGTCAGAACTGAAGTGACCGAAAACGTCAATGTCATCTTTCGACTGCGACGGTCGGCGGTCCTTGTCAGCCCTTGAACCCTTGAGAGAGTTGTCCCAACTATTCGACGAAGTCACATTGTCCTCGGCCCCAGGATATAGGATTTGTGTGGTCGATGAGGATCGATGACGCTTTCGAGTGTCACCCCGACTACCGCCTGATGAAAGACGGAACCTATCTATCTCCTCGCGCAGCTTGGCACATTCTTCGGAGATAAAATCGTACTAACGAATGTCAAGTTCAGCTACACTGTACCGGAAAAACTACTATTTGGCGCACCTTCCTATGACGGGTAACAGAGAAAAGGAAGAAATTCATCTAATGAGTACATATCTTCTAATCCTTTAGCGAGTTATGCCTACCTCTGCCATTCAATTTCTTCTATTCGCAAGCGCTCTCTAAGACTCGCTTCGACGGTTCTCGCTGATTCTTGATCACGAGCACGGCTCCGTTGGACATCATGATAACGATGTTCCCAATCGATTATTACTTGTTTGTTACGGGAGTTTTCGGTCCGTAGGTCAAATGTGCTAGACTCAAGTTGTCGATGCTTCGCCTGAAGGTCAGTGAATCGGTAAAGTAGAAGGAATGATGCTCGGAGGTTCGCATGCTGCGCTCGAGTGTGAATCACCTTATCAGTGAAGAGTGGAAGTCGCAAGAACGTACCATTTCTTGCGGTTCAGCAACCAGAAAAGCGTGTATCTCCTGGATAAACTCACGTACACCGCGTTCCCGACCACTGCCGGTAAAGGTGCCTCTCAAAACTAATTCTGAGATTTTCCGCTGTAGTTGCGTTGCCCGAGGGATGTCATCGACTAACCCGAGCGCATTGTCCGAAGGAAGCTCGCGCCGCTGTTGGTCTGTTGTTCGTGGGCTAAGTCTTCCCTGCGCATTTTGCAGTGAATCACTACGATCCACGTGAAGCCTCCGGACCTCCGATAACTCAAATGGTGAGCGACATAGAGGGCAAATGTGCTGTCGCAATGATTGTAGACAACTGCAACGTATTAAGCATGGCCCGGTATCTGGACAAGGTTTCAAGTTCAACTTACTTTAGACAGAAAACATGGCCGCATGAAATAGAATGCGGCAGGTTCGATGGGCGGCTTATATAGCTTTCAAGGCAGACGTCGCAGGTAGAAGAAGGGTGGACGACCAGCATCTTGGGGATAGCTCTGCAGTGTGGTTATGATGAGGACGAGTCGGGGAAAGATGAGCAGCAGGTAGCTGCGCGCTGGGGTGGCTCTCAAGGAGCGTGCTGGGGCAGGCCAGTACAGACTAAGGGAAATGCCTAACGGCGAGGTACCAGGAGGCCTATTATACCACTTTTCGGGAATAGACCTCCAGGTGAGCAGCAGGTCGGGAATTGGCCCCCGGACGGTCATGCGCAGGATATCTTGTCCTGCACACGTCCCGGTCTCCGGCCATGAGTGTGCCCAGTCGAAGGGTGAGTCAACATTAAGTTCAGGTGGTCGAACTAGCGGGAACTCGCGACTCAGATTAGCGTTCATGAAAGTGTATTTTGGGCGGACTTCGCCGTTAGGGACGTCAGTTCCCACAGGACGGCGGTCAGTACGGTTAACCTCTAAAAGTCTTGAAGTGTTAGTTTGCGCAGAGGTCCTCGCGATCGAAGTCCTGCAAGGCCAAAAGGGATATAAAACTATATGAAGACCGAGAGCAACCATGTACAAGCGATTGGTGATAGTATCAAGATCAAATTAAGATAGCTTCGGGATGCATTCCGTGAGTATATAGTGCTAGCCATGAGGTTTCAGCGTGGCGGGTACGTTCACTGATGTTGTCAACTTTGACAGAGATGTTGCCTATGACTGCCGTTGGGGACCAGAGGTGAGAGGCGCGCAAGTGACTAGGAGAGATCACTCTGATTACACTGACTGGAATTGAGACTCCGCTTGAACCTGAAGAAAATCACTTTGACTTTGTTTTTCCTCTGGAAAAATTTTCACACTCGACAGCAACAGCAACAATGCTCGTGTATTTGGCACTGCCTCACACAAACTGGATTGTTGCACGGGTACACGGCACTAGCGGATAGGTGATGCATTCCATGCATGAAGACACCATCACTCACCTCGCTTCCTTCGTACGCGAATGAACTCGTTTTCGTTGCGTCACTACGAGTGGAATCCGCGTTGGATTTGATCGCCTCGTTAAAAATGACGATACACAGTACAAAACGTTTCTCTTAACTTGCACGTTGGAATTCAGAATTCTAACCATGTCAATAGCTTTCGTAAAAGCGAACCGTGATTTTGGTATGGTTTCCATTCGAACCCGATACGTCCTCGCTATTAACGCGGAAGTCATATTTCAAGTCCTGCGGCATGCCAAATCAGCAAGGATATAATATGTAGGAAATTGAAAGCATTACCATAGATGCCTCACGTTGGTGGCAGCATTTCTAAAATGGCATGGGATCGTCGGGACCGACAATTCCTTGGATAAACTCAGACCAAACCCCATAACTGCCCGTGGCGCAAATTGCTGACTTGAAGATGCGAAAGCGTATAAACGTCCTCAGACTTAATTTTGATCATTGCATGTGATCTTGGTTCGGTGAATCAGTCCTCCAAAGCCACAAACTGGCGATCTCTTCATTCGGGAGTGTCTTGGTCAAGGTCACTGTTCCCACTTTGAGGCAGTGTGCGACAAGACGGCAGGAACTTCAGCTCTAATACGGTTCGTTCGGACTTGCCCTTTCGTCGGATCTCTCGGAGCACCATTGTTCAGCTGATTCGTCGCAGTAGTCACGAAGGGCGAGTTCCTTATCTCCCTCTTTTGGGTCGCAAATGAACGGTCGAACCAATACTGCGCCTTAATAGAGAGCTCGAAGTCCTGGGCTTGTTTGACGAGAAGAATTCTGAGACTTCGATGATTATCGATCTTGATAACCGATCTGGCCTCTCAGTTTCTTCAATCGCCGGTCCTCCTTCGAGCTGAGCTTCCAGGGCATCTGTTCTATACACGTTTTGGTGTCCGGTCAATGCACACTATATTTTTGGATTGCTAGATTGCATATTACACGTGCGTGGTTACATATATACTATACTTATAGATAGATTATATTGTCATCGAGACCGTTCCTCCGTTACTCTAAAGTTCTGCGGGTAGTGGTTAAACATCTATGTGGTTCAAAACTCATTTCTACACCGTCAGGTTCTATGCTAAGCTTATTGGGAGAATTTGGCCCTCGCGGGATCTTACAAGTATTTCACTTTCGTTTTCTCGCAAATAAAGAATGGAATTGATCTTCCGTGCTTGCGTTAGTCCCACCGGTACTTTCGCATTGAATTCCTTATTTGCTGTTTATTACACTACTGATGAGCTCTTCATTCGATTGCCTTCTGGACTAGAAATATCATTTGGAATTCTCGGAGCAGACTGACACTAAACGTGAAGGTTAAAATGTGAAGGTTAAAATGTATTTGCTGTAAACAAGTGTCTTGTACCTTTCTTTGGGTGTTCATGAGCAGTCTTGTCATCAGGAATATTGCTGTCCTACGTTTCTTCCTAGGGTCTCATTGCCTTGTTTTATATAAGTCACAGCTAGAAAAGCCTAGTATCGAACGTATGCTTGCGTGGGAAGGCTTATGGGTCACAATTGTTTGGTTTCATTTGCAACAAACGTTGGATTGTATGTACCATGTCCGTGTATTTGTTGATTGAGATGTTGGACCATGCTATTGATGATTGTTTCCGCATAACGACCAGTAGGTATCTGCTGTTTCTCTTCTGCTTACCTCTGTGAGAAGATCGCAAAGAGAACCTTACTCCTAGACAACTGCCAGTGAAAGGACAAGTTCTAGCGAGGAACCTTTCCATTTTGGTGCCTGCAGCAGCATATATTTCCAATTAAGGGTGAAGTTAGCACAATTTGAGGAGTGGCAGGGCGAAATCCGTTCTGCTTTGTGCTGACCTTGGGCAAATGAGTGACCCAGAAGAGCGATAACGTGATGTCTCGTCACAACTCTCGTGCTTTCCAGCACTTCCGGTGATCTCGGGCATTAGACTTCAATATTCATAATTCAACATGTACAGCTTCTCTCTCACACTTTGACTTTCGACAGTGGCCCCAACGCATTTCTTGACGTTCGCCGTCCCTGCGCTTACCCCTCAAAAACAAACTGAGCAGTCTGAAGGTGAACATCGACGAAGATGTCAAATCTTAGAATGTTTTATGACCAGTCCTTTCCACCTGCGCCGAAATTCACTGAGGCAGACGTTCCAAATCTCAGTGGGAAAGTCATCATTGTGACTGGTGGAAATACTGGCATTGGAAAGGAGACAGTACGAGTATGACTTAATTCTATACTGTGTTCTCCAGAAGCATCTTGTCTGACCCAACTCTATGAAACACGATCTGTGAAGGTAGTATTGGAACATGGCGCAAAGGTCTACATGGCCTGTCGCTCTGCAGAAAAAGCGGAGGCTACTATCAGTGAACTGAAAAAGCAAACTGGGAAGACAGAGTTGTACTTCGTGCCGCTGGATCTGTCAAGTTTCGCATCAATAAAGAAGGCGGCAGAAGAGCTAAAGAGGTATATCTTTACCATGCTCAGTCGAATCTCACTAACCATTCCTCTAGCAAAGAGACAAAATTAGACGTTCTTTTCAATAATGCGTGAATAGTTTGTTTTCTGTCATGCTCTTAGAAATACTGATTCCCGATGCCTAGGGGAGTCATGGCTCCGCCGCTGGGCCAACTCACTGAGGAAGGCTACGACATGACCTTCGGAACCAATGTAGTTGGTCCTCATCTATTCACGAAGCTACTGTTCCCACTGCTTCAAGTAGCGGGATCTGAACATGGCGACGCACGTGTGATATTCACAAGCTCTCTTGGACATGCTGCAGCCCCCAAGGAATTCATTGCCTGGGAAACTCTTAAGCCCGGCAAGAAGGGCGCTCCCGGAGATAAGAAACGTCGCTCACTCGGCACTGGTGGTCTGTATTACCAAAGCAAATGCGTGAGTGCTAATATAGCACGGATTTCGACGAGAAATAACGTTGTACAGGGTGTCATCATGGATGCAAATGAATGGGCAAGGCGATATGGTAGCCAAGGTATAATTTCGTGCTCCCTTCACCCTGGTATGTAATTACCTCAAGCTAGTGCCTTCGGGGGTTTTTTTTATTAATATGACACATTTTCAGGAGCAATACAAAGTGAACTCGGACGGCATTGGCCACGGTGGCAAAACGCAGTAATGGTAAATTCTTACCCTCTTACTTAGAGGTTGGGGCTGTACTTGACGTTTGTGTCCTCACTTTTGAAGGGATTCTTTATGAATTTGAAGCCCGCGGCTTTGGGTGCGATTACGCAGATTTACGCTGGTACGACACCAGACGGTAAGGAACTCAATGGGAAAGTGAGTCGATTTATGTTTGTTCTCGTGGAACTTGCCCATTCATTTGAGATTTAGTACTTAATTCCTTGGGCTCGGGTTGGCAAACCCCGTGAAGATGTGCTTGACGAGAAGCAAAGTGCCAAGTTATGGGATTGGCTGGAAGAACAGACTGCGCACATTGAAAACTCGTAGTTCAAGTTCTCTAGGTCCAGATTCGTGTTCACTCGTTCAGGAGCTGAAGCGCCTCTGAGAATTTATGAATACTTTGTATTGTCCATCGTAATTAGCAATCCTGTAATGAACCGCGTATTTTGTTCTGGACTGAATAATTGATTCTTGACTTTCTGCGCTCATGAGAAATCGCTGATCCTTCTGAAGCCCGAGCGGCATAAAGATGCATAGCCATCTTGATTATCACTGTCGTCGGCCAATGGTATATGAGACACATAAATTGATATGATGAACCTGTGAACTAGATTATCTAGGGCGGTGAACGGACGTCGCGGCGCACGTGCTTGCCGTAAACGATAAAAGCTAGCAACCCTGCGGTGACGGTCTTGAAACCTCACTGTGTTCGTGTTCCATCGTTCCACCCTATTCCTCTTCTTGTTTACCTCGCCATCCCATACGTTAGAGCAGTTGGATATACCCGTCACATCCAGGGCAAATGCCACTCACTCCCGACTCCGAGCTTGAACTGCTCTTCCCTGCAGAACTCATTCCGTTCCAGATCAAGGATGAGCTGCACGAGGACCTCCACGTACGTTCAATGCCCAGTTAGGTTGCAAGAGTCCCTTTTGAGCTTCTTATTGCTATGTAGATCAGGCCACTTGCATCTACGGACTACAAGCGTGGCCACTTAAATGTACTCGCCGTGCTTTCCATAGTGGTCGATCCAGGCGAAGAAGCGTGGCTTGAACAATTCTACGCACAGAAGGCGGCACCAGATACTTACTACACTTTAGTCGTGCTTGACAAGGCAACGGATCGCATCGTTGGCGTTGGATGCGTATTCATTGAGCGCAAGTTCCTCCGTGGACTCGGCAAGGTCGGCCACATTGAGGATATAGCCGTCGATGCATCCGTTCAAGGGAAGAGGATTGGGCTACGGATAATTGATGCTCTCACGCGCATCAGTGAGGGTGTAGGGTGTTACAAGACGATCCTGAATTGCAGTGACAAGAACATGCGTATGTGCACTCTGTCGCAGTTTTGTGGAGGTTTAGGGCTGACTTGATGTAATACTCAAAGCTTTCTACGTCAAATGTGGGTACGAGAAAAAGGAGAATGAGATGGTACGGATCCTTTCTCGTATATATGTGTGTGGAGTGCAATTGCTAATAACTCCTCAAGGCCAAGTACGCAACTGCTAGCATCGCCCCTACGCCATGCCCGTCGCCCATCCCTAGGCTTTAGGCGTGGACGATACCCATTAATGTATTCCTGCTCTCCCGTGCTTGGAACTTTCTCTACTCGGACATCACACCGCCTATTCTCCGCATAGACACATACAATTACCCTACTTATACAAATGGACAGTCAACGACCGCATTCCTATTCTCCCTTGCCTTTGGACTGCCTAGTGTAACACAATTTGCTTTGGATTGGTACAAGACTACATCAATAATATCGTGTCATCCTTTCGGCCCTGGCTTAGACTGGAAAAGTCTGAGTTGCAATATTATGCTGTCGCCCGCACAGTTAGTCTAACCGAGGAAGTGCAGTCAACACGGCGTGAATGTAGCGGGCTAGCGCGCTGTGACCCGATCTGACGCTTCTAAAAGAGGCGCATCAAAGGGCGCATCAAAAAATGATGTCTGACACGGTGCAAGAAAAGGACGCAGTGTCAATATAGTTTAATCTTTTCTATACGGGCTCTCCAGGTAAACTTTGCTATGTGCCACTCGCGCATCGAGCAAAAAATAGATTAAGGAACATGCCGTATGCCTTTCAACACGGCTAGTGCACTGATTGTTCCTAGACAGACATTAGATAATTCTGATCTGGCATATATAAAAATACTGTCAAAGACATTAACTTGTCTAGATAAATGTGCCCGATATTTGGTAGATTAAAATGTTATGCAAAATTATTTTGTATTTATGTCTAGCTATACTTTTTGCACAGACATAGCTCAAAGCACTGCTATTTTCCCTGCCGTCAACGCTAATAACAAGTGAAGTGCTTGTATTACTTATCATCACAATGTCAAAGAGAAGCAGTGGGAGTGCTAGAGAGAAAACAAGAGAGCTAACTCCTGTTGAGAGGCTCCAGAAATGTAAGTATATACATATGTAGAAGTTATAGAATAACTATTGACATTGTGATTCATTTGTTTAGATTTGGATAGAAAGTCTATAGGATCACCTGAGGGACATACTGTAAGGGGCCTAATTAGAGGGTGTACAAGACCCTTGTAGTCCCTCTAATTAGGTACCTTTTGAGCTTTTCTCCCTAACTGTACTTAATACTGGACTTAAATAGTAAAAAAAATTCTAAGTCAAAATAAAATAAAATAAAATAAGTATGCTGAGTGCCCTATATGGCAACTGTGCCCTCCCCACCTGCCACACCTTGAGCTCACTGTCTCATACAGTGAGCACACACTTTCCTCTGTATCTTACTCAATTCTTAACCAAATTTCTTCATTATTCCTTTAAAATTAATGTAAATTTAGTTGGAACTCATTCATAACACAAATACAATGTTAAATGTATCAATTACTTGTGTATTTGTGTACTATTTGATAATAAAAAATACAACAGTTTCCTCTGACTAAGATTTATGATACTCTAAACTCTTAATACTGTAATAATAGTAGAGCTTATATATCTACAGTATATCCAAGAATTGAGTCTGTGTAATGTATACAAAGGAAGTTACACTATGCTTTATATACATAATTTTGTAGTCTCATATCTATGTAACCACAGAAGTTATTAATATAAGAGTGGCTTTTTTAAATAGGTGTAGATTAGTATTAAATTATTATAAGATATGAGAGGTTTAAAATAAGGAGGTAAATTGTTATTAAGAGTATAGTACAAATATTAGAGTCTATATAT